ATGTTTCTATCTCGAATACCAAGTCTATGACTTGCCATGCCCTAGTCTCTTGTGGGCCAAACCACAAACGTTGTGGTTCAACATTGAACCTAACCAAAAACAAGCAGTACCATAACATTTGTGGGTTGGCACACAAGAGACTAGGGCATGACAAGTCATAGACTTGATATAAGAGATAGAAAAAGGATAGTGGGAGCTAATGGGCTGACAGTATGTTTTACAAGAGACGTGGTCCATGTGGCAAAGTCCTGACCATGACACTTACTCAGAGGCTTGATCCTCGAATTAGTCACCCAGACACAGAGTAGGGCCAATAACAGATCGGGTGGCACAGATGGGGTGGCAGGGGTCGAGTGAAATATGTGAACGAGGGAGAGGGCAGACGGATCTTACGGGGCAAGAGAGAGACTGTGGTAAGACCTAGGGAAGAAGGACTGCCTAACAATATGGTAGACTCCGATCAATATTCCAAGCACAAGGATGAAGGGCGGTGTAAAGGCCGGCGTGGAGTGCGGAGGGTTCTCATGAAAGCCGCTAAAAAAGGCACACCGCAAGTAAAATATTGTGTCAGTGAAGGCGTGATTGAAGGATATAGGAAATGTCAATAGGCCAGGGCAGAATGGGAGATACCATAACTGTTTAGCACACGTTTGGTCAAAGGATCGACTTCACTTGTCGCTTTGGCGACTTGTTATATGCTGCTACGAGTGGCAAAACTCACTGACATTGCGGACTACGATGCCGGTGAAACGTCTGGGAATGTGCAACGTCCACGGTCCTACACTGGAAATGATTATGCATACAATGGACTCAGGACAAGGTGCATTCCTCCTACCAATATGACCAAGTTGCGAAAACAAGGTCAAACAACTTCTATACAACTGCGACCACACAAAAGGCTACACCATCTTGGTCTTCATATCTTCGATTAAAGATAGGAATAATGAGGAGCATGATCGTTCGAAGCCTACGCCTAACGAATGTATGATTATGGGACGTGGAGCTGGACAAATTGACGAGGATATTGCTCGGCACCCAATCAAAGTGATAACAAAAAACATACGGGCCGTGAAAAGCCGATGGTAGAACTGGGACTATGAAATAACAGTAAGAACAATGAAGAACCTTCCTGCGAATTGATTCAGAAATTACGACCAATATTGAGTAAATGGAATATTCAGGTGGCCATGAAAGAGAAATCAACACTTTTTACAACTCTACCGACGCAACATGAAAGAGTAGATAAATTGGATTGTTCAGGAGTTTACCGTATATCATGCGGCGCCTGCGAACAGAAATATATTGGCGCAAAAAAGATAAAAATTACCACACGAATCAAGGAACATCAAAGGCTCTGCAGGAAAATGGATACAGAAAGATCAGAACTAGCGGAACACATCGCACAAACTAGACAAGATATCAATTAAAAAGCAACAGAAAGAAGAACCCCATACAGTGACAACACAAGGAAGCGGAAGATTAGGGAGGTCATTGGCATGCTTGGGGAGAAAAATTGAATGAAAAGGAGATTGGAGCAAGGTAGAATTAGCGATAACTTTGCCTACTGCCTAAGCAAAATCGGGGAAAACAATAGAGCAAGACCAGCAAAAAACAGACGCCTAGATAAAGGATCTACCGCTAACCGGAAGAAATGGATCACAATGAAGAAAGTGGGGACAGAGGTTTTCGACAATAAAGCGAAGATGTCAGTGAGTGACGTCCATTTCGAATAAACCAGTACAACTTTGGGGGACTGGCATTTAGGGAGCTGGGCAGACGAATAAGCAAACTAGCATGGAAATTCGACGTTATGACCAAAATGTAATAGAAATCAACTTGAGATGCCGCATGCGACCGGAGATAACCGTCCACAGTTTGCTCAGATAGCATGGGTTTAATCAAGGAGAGAACTAGTGAAGGGATGGTCTGATATCTGCAAACATGGGAATCATAGCTTAGGCGCTCTGCTCAGTGAAACAGCAGTGTACGTGCTTCTATGGCCTTAAGAAATAGCGCCTAGAGTGAAATGCACACTGGGACTGAAACCGAGTAAAATCGATCAGCCAGAAAGATAAGGAACGGATCTACGAGACAATGAGGGGATCCGGATCGGATCGGAGGCTCGAGTCGGATTAGCCGATCGAAAGAGAGGGGTCGGTGTGAATAGCAAGTGTGATGAGGTCACACTAGATTTGCCACAAAAGGGTACACATTTTGAAGAGTAGGATGTAAACAAAGAGAAGTGGTAATGGTCAGGAGTGGGATAAGAGGGTAAGCAGTGGATAGAGTGGCCAGGACAGAAAGATGGGTGATAATGTAACCGTTGGTCGAAGGAATGACTTCATTTGTCACTGACGAGTTTGTAGCTTGGTTCGGAGAATGGCAAAACTCACTGATGATGCCGTCTACGATGTCGCCGAAACGTTTGAGAATGTACCAAGTCCACTATCTGATGCAGGGAATCATGACAACTACTATGGGAGATGACTTAGGACTAGGTGCCTTCTACTAAGTCGCCCTGACAACAAGACCAAGTTGTGACAACGAGGTCAACACACTCATATAAATGGGGTTGAGAGAAAGAGATTAGGCACTAGAAAATGGAACAAAAAATAGGAGCGAGGAGTGATGCCACAGCGGTTGAACAGAAATTTGATCAAGCGGATTGCCTTCAC